TGGATTAACATCTTAGCGACATGGCTATGTTTCTTACAATTGCAATATTTTCTTGATATGCTTGTTTCATTTGAACTAAGAAAGTATGATTGGCAGTCAAGACTCCAAAGTTTATGGAGTTCCAAAAATATATGAAACAATTTGATGGTAAAAATTACATATTTTGACAAATTGTCACAATATCTCTGTTTTCTCTTTGTACTTCAACCTTAGTTATGTTCTCAACATCGTGAGACTGCCTTTTACTTTAATACCCACTTCTACTACATCGTTTACTGTCTGATGCGCGTCTGTTACATTTATAACTGTGACTTCTTTCTGAAGCAATATTTGACATATTATAGTGGCCAAGTATACATGGAATTTAGCTAGTTTCTGCGTTCACGCGTTCTGTTTTCTCATGATAAGTCAGTTTTTCCCCCTCAAGGTGGTGCTAATAAATGTTGTTTTTCCTACCTGGAGCACGGGTTAGGACATCTAGGCTCATCGATGGTAACATGTCTGCAGATGCTTAAACTGCTCAACAGTTGCTATCCATTTTAGAGGGAGAAAGCTTTTGACTTGGATGATATTGCAGATAAGCTTGCAGATTGATTGTCCAAGTCAAAAGCGGATAGAATTAATTTTGAAACCATGTAGATATTAACCTCAAGCATATCAAGGACAAATGATTCAAGAGGAATTTGAAAACCATAGAAGGAATTCATTGAAAGAGTTATTTTCTAAGATTTATGGAAACTTGACTACTCAGGGTTATTGTTGCCTGAAACAATATATTTGAGAAGTGGTTTAGAAACCATAAACTGAATTTATTGGAAGAGTTTAGTTTTTGATGAGAAGTGGATGCTAACCCTAATGCTCAGGGTTAGTATATTCAAGAAGGGGTTTAGAATCCATTGAAGGAATGGCTTTGTCATTCGAGGTGAACACATGTTCTAACTTTTTGTAGTTTTCTTTTCTCCCATCCTGTTAAAGGAACTGCGCAGAGATTCTTCCTGTAATTCATGTGCAGATTTCCTGTGCCTGATATGAGTTGTTTTTTCTCCAGTAGAAGCAACAAGATCAAAGTGTTGGATGATGGCAAGTTCGAATATTAAATCTTTGAGTATCGGCTGCTTCACCTGGCTTTATGATCTTGCTATTGTTCTATTGATGGTATATTGTTTCTTTGTATCTATGAGAAGATGTTATTTACCGTATTCTTCCCAGCCTTGCCCTTGCAATTGGACTTGTATCCGCCTATGCTCTGTTCTCTAGCATCTGGATACCTATTAATCTCCCCTTCCCTCTCAAGAAACTTTAAGCTTACCTTGTTATGTGTTCCATTTCTGAACTCGGCTGTGGCATATTTGGATTGTTTTCTCATGAATTATGAATCCTGGATATATCTTTTATATAATGATGCCGTGCAACGTCTCTTAATTTATGGGCCTTGCTCTGTCAGCTGATGCAGAGTGAGATGCTGGTAAATCATTTGAATCGGAATTGGTTATTAGTAGTTTAATCACATGTCCCCTCTTGGATCGTAATTCCTATCAAGTTCATATTCCCTTTTGTGTTCTTAACTTGAACTGGTGCTGGAGCTGTACGATCAAACTATGTGGGTAATCTTGAGCTCTCTCTCTCTCTTATCGTTGAAAAGACTGATTTTTTAAAAAAAGTTGTAATCTGAATAACACTTGAATATATTTAAGAGCCAAAACAATAGGCTTTTTTATTTGGATAGGCTTGTAACATGCTTTCAAGCACTGGGTTTTCTTTATTTATTGCGTTTTTTAGCTGTGGGCTTATAGTTGATTTGTGCCCAACTCCACCTGTAGGGGATTGTGGGTTATTACTGGGTTGTTTGGTGGGTGAAATACCCATAGCCTGCTCCACCACCAACCTCTCTCTCTACCCTTGACAATATATATACATGATACTGCGTCTGCAATACAATACATTAAAGCCGCACCTCGCAAGGTGGTTTGGTCAGTGCATTCATTGTGAATTGTCATATGGAAGCTGAAAATAATTCCAGAGTACTCATTCGCCTCAATTTCACTTTTTTTTTTTCCTTTTTTTCTTTTTACTTTTTTAATAAGAAAGCGTTAGTGCTATGGATTATTTTGAAACTGAGTTACTTACAATGACGACAGAAAGCTGCATTGTCAATGAATCCCGAACTAGTGCCCTGCTGTCGAATTACATATAGCAAGTGGACCTAGTACGATGGTTTTCTTTTTTTCCTTTCACTCTTCTTTTCTCTTTCCTCCATCCTTCAAGTTTAATCTCTCGGTTGGCAACGAGCATCCCTTTCATTGATGAAGTATTTTATTCTCCCCCCCTCCTTTTCCCGTGAATGCTTGTGTGACACTTGACGTCTTGTTTATCTTGTGTGTGCGTCCAATAACCGAGCCATTACCTGCGGTTTGAACGAGATGGTTGTTTTTCTCGCAGGCCATCCTTGTGCTGTTTAAAGTCAAGACAGGAATCGAGTGGCTGTGGCTTGAGGTCATTAGTCGCCAGGCGATCTTGTGCCCTCTCAGGTTCATACGAACCATCTTGTGTTTTTCAGCCTTGTTTTCTCTTATGTTTAGATTTAATTCTGGAGGAACAGGGTTGTCATGTGCTTAATCATTACCCAGGATCCAACTTCCACCTCTCCACATATGCTCACACATGCTGATGGAGGTGGGTCATCTCAATCTTTGTGTTCTCGCAGACCCAGATGAGGCTCATGAGTTTTGCCCCCTCAAATTAATTGCTTCTATAACCACACACCCACCTTTCATAAAAGCTTTGAGACCTAATCTCATAATTGCCATCAACTATAATCCCTTTTGCTAGAGGACTCGTTCTTCATTAACATCCAGCCCATAGTCTTCCTCTGCTGCCCCCATAGCCGATAGTATGTATTGAGGAAAAAAAAAAAAGTCAAATTAACTTGCTTACTCCATATTTTTCAATTATTACATTCAAGTGTTGGGCCACGTGAAACTGGAGCGAAGTTAAAAAGAAACAAAAAATTGATAGATAGGAGTGGCCTTGGCGTTTTCCTTAGCCACCATGCCTTCGGCTGTCCCAAGTTTTTTCTACATTGACAATAGCGTTGCAGGTTTCTAAATATTCACTTATTAAAATGGGAGAATAATCAATCTTATCTCCTTCCGAATTAATATTCAAATAACTTTGAAATGTGCCCTTACGCTATGGTTTATCTAAGCATAATCCATGTGGACAGATTAGAGCCCATTTTCGTGGCCAGAAATAATTACACAGAAAAGATTACACGTAAGAAAAGGCGGGGCAACCAACCTTCTTTGAAGGAGAGGAGAGGAAACAAGTAAATAATAACAACAATAATAATGAAAATAAAAAGGGTGCCAAGGGACCAAAGCCGAGAAGAATAATAGGCCCACGCCACGATTAAGATATGAAGGGCAAGAGGCTAGATTTTTAAAGGAAGTTTAGACGGAACCTGCCAAGGTACCTGCAAGGGAACTTGGGGGGGCCTTTCTCAGGCAAAGTAAATAAATACTGCTGTCAATTTGGAGGGCTACTTGGATTCTTGTAAACCTAAAGATTGATTGATACCCGATTGATACCCATCTAAACAAGCATCCCAATTTTGATAAATTCCACCGCCCTCATCTACGCCGACAATGTACTACATTTAACCCTTAGGGCATGCCCTAACCTCCTCTTCGTCTGTGATACATGTACTTAAGGAAGGATAAAAAAAAAAAACATAACCAAAAACAAAAGCCATGTAACAGGAAATAAGTACGTAAATAGTTAGTCAAAAAAGCAATTAGATTTTTAGGTAAGGCAAGAAATTCTAAGTCATCTAACAGCGGGCCCCAAACAATTATTCAGTGCCACATATGCAAGATTAAATTTTGTAATTTTTGTGACAACTCAAAACACACACACACACAGCAACACATATTGCAGGTCCAGTCACCTAAAAAAACACACATGTGATGGTAAAAAAAAAAGAAAAGAGGAGGAGTGCTTGGCGTGGAAAAAAACACACATGTGATGGTAAAAAAAACAAAGAAAAAAAAAGAGGAGGAGTGCTTGGCGTGAAGAAGATGGAAACAACAAGGTGGGCATGGGCCCCGTTGGCTTAGCCGCGCATTGGAAGTAGAGACCATTCTTTCCTCCTTCCTCATCTCTCCCCGGCCTCGCTTTAAATGATAGCCATCTCTGTTTTCTTTTCTCATTTATTATTGTTGCAAGTTTACCGCTGTTTTTGTTCTTTTTTTATCTCTGTTTTCTTTTCTCATTTATTATTATTGCAAGTTTACCGCTGTTTTTCTTTTTTTTCCCCAAAAAAAAAAATTAAAAAAAATGTTTCACTGTTGAAATTAAAATAAAAAAAACATCCTCGTAACAATCTCATTAAGACTGAATACATGCAATGTTACAAGACAGTCAACATTCTTTCAATGAAATCATTATATACTGTCATCCAGCTCACACTAGTAAATTGTTGCTGATATTAATTTTCTTGTTCTTCGTTTTAAAGTTTAGAGATCAGTTATTTTGTGTGTGTGAATGGATGGGCAAAGAGTGGTAAATATTTTGTATAATTCCAAAATTAGTTTCCCTAATCAAACAGTGAAGTATTAAAAGAAAAGGAAAAGAAAAAGGAAAAGAAAAGTCACATGGAGAGGAGGGAGGAAGAGCTGGTAAGCGGCCCAAGAGGGGGACACCTCCTTTGCCTAGTTGTTGTTGCTATTTGGTGTTGATGTCGTTGTTTGTATTTTTATTTGAATTATATAATTAATAATGAAGTCCTTGTTTAGAGAAACCGATCATTCTCTCTTTCATCTCTCTATTTCTTGGTGGTCGAATGGGTTATTTAGTAAATTACTGATTACTGTCCTCTTTTAATCTCTCTACCTTTTTCTCCCTTGCATACATACAAACATACATTGCATCCCTCATATCTCATATCCTCCTCCTCCTCCTCTTCCCTTCTCCCCCTCTCTCTCTCCTTTCTTTCGGTGAGGGTTTTGTTTTTATTTATTTTTCTCTTTCTTTTCTCGAGAAAGAGAGGCCAACATAGAAGAAAGGAGGCTTCTTCCTTCATTTTTTTGGTGTTGTTGAGGCCTAATAATTTATTCCTTTTGTTTTCTTACTGCAGATTGTTAGATCGATCGGCTCTCTTTTCTTAGGTAAACTTTTTTTCGGTGTTAATTCAATTTTTTAGCTTGATCGGTTGACGATATGATTGGTTATTGTGTTTGATTGTTTGATTTTTGTTGTTATTTCATTGAGCTGATAAAAGCTAATTTTATGTGGGGTTTTGTTTGTTTCCATTTCTATAAGCTTTTTTCTTCTTTTTTTTCTCTTTGTTGTAACTTTTTTTTAATTTATTTATTTAAAATATTCTCGTGTTTGGAATCACTTAATTGACTGCAGAATTGATTTTTGTGCGGTTTCAAATCTTACCCAGATTTGATGAGAATTCGTTACTATTACCATCGCAAATTCTGTATCCAAGAATAAACTCGTCCGTGATTTCAAAAGCTCAACTGAACCTAGCCGTATCCGTAGAACTTGTCCTCCCGTGATTTCAAAAGCTCAACTGAACCTATCCGTAGCCGTAATTTCTTCAATCTCCAACCAGCTAAATACGTTTTTTCAATGAATATCATCAACAAAACACCACATTTCAACCCCAAAGTGAAACAAACTCTCATCGCAATAGTAAAACGCAGTTTCCTCAAAATTACAGTCATCGACCTCCTTGTAAAAAATCAAAAGCCACCCGTTAAGAGATAAGACGAGATAAGGTAAAGGGAATTGAGAAGAATAAAACAGATAGAGAGAGGATGGACAGAGTTCGTGAATAAGGGAAAACCTTCGCTCTTGTTTTTTTTCCCCTCTTTTTTTACAACATAAACCCTTTGTTCTCATCCACCCATATGTAGAAGACGGAGAACAGAGACCAGTTTAGAACTAAAATCTCTACTCCAAGAGCCAACGTTTGTTTTTAACCTTTTATTTTAGAATACAGCTCTAGGAGTGATATGTTAAAACTAAAATCTCATTTGTTTATTGTCCAATATTAAAAAAAAAATTATTGAATTCAATTGTTCTAATTTCATTCCAAACAAAGAATTCAAGTCCAAAATCAATAGATTTCAATTTTACCGTAAGAAATGAATTCAATTTCATCGTGGAATTGGTTTCAAACATGGTGTTAAGCTGATTTTGAGTTCATGAGATTGGTCCTGAGTGGTTGTTGAGGAGCTAGAAAAAAGTTTGCCTTTTAATCTCTGCTGTGTCTATCTATGGATGTGTTTGATTCGAGCATCCGCTTTTTGTTGTTGATACTAAGATATTCTTTCCCTTTGATTATTTGATTTGGTTGGTTATGAATTTGAGTTGGACCTTCTTTGCAGTTGATTTCTTTATTTCATCTCATTTTAATTGTCTCTTTTGGTGTATGACTGTTGAGTTGTGGTCAGAATTTGGTTTTGATGTTTGGGAAAGGGAAGGTATGAATAGAAAGTTTACTTGGGTGTATGGTATGAAAAGTTCATTGGATAGGCCCAAAAATATATACTTCTTTACCACAATGTGATCCTTAGTTTTTTGTTTTTGTTGATATGAAGTTATGTAGGCTTTTGCATGTTGAAAGTTTATCCAGTACTTACTTGAATGATATCCTTGCACTCCCAATACATTCTCCTCATACACTCATTATTCTTATTTTATATAGGAAAAAAAGTGCTCATAAACTATCTTAATGGCTAATAAAATTATAATGTGGGTTGGTTTGGGTATAAATCTTTTGCTCAAATCCAGAAAAAAATTCCACTGCCCTCATCTTCTTGGCCTTGTGAGCAATCCTAAGCTTCTATATGAATAGAAGTGCATATATTTTCCAAATTTCTAGACAAATTAGAACATATTGATCTTGACTGATTTCTAGTTTGAATTGATTATTTTATTCCTATCCTTTTGGTATTAGATATCATTTTCTTTATGGTATTTTTTTTTTCAGGTGTAGTGCATATTGCTGTTTGTGTTGGAATTTTCTTCAGTCTTTTACCTATAATTTATAAGGGACATTGACATTAGCCCTAATGCAAGGGCAGAGAAGTATCATTGGCTCCTTGCCAGAAACCCTGGACTTTGACCATGGATCCACATCTGGTAATGCGATCATAGATCAGCAAATTTGCTTGAGTAACATGCGAAATCCAGCGGAAAACCGATTGACGGAGTTTATGCTATCACCTAGTCACATGAACAATCCATATGCGAATTCTATTGATCAAGAACGGCAAAATTTGAGTGGCTGGAGCTTAGGTGAACCCAGTTCCAGTGGGCAACAAAACCAGGCAAGTCATGATGATCGGAAACTGGAACATGGATGGTCATCTTCCGCGAGTAGCTCTGCTGGAGCTGGTCCAAGGTTAGAAGAAAGGCGATATGAACCAACAAATATTCTTTCACTAAACAGGGTAAATGTGAACCCACAATATGAGCGGATTTCCAATTCGGATGCAATTCCACAGAATATCAACTTGAATGCTGGTTTTGTTGGTCATGGGGGTGATAATTGTCAAGTAATGGATGCCTCTGCTATTTACAAGCCTATTGGGCCAGAAAGTGAGCGGAACTCACCTACTAGTGGTCCAGATAATTTCTTGCGTCCTGGAAATGGGGGATACTTAGTGGAACAGAATGATGGAAGACCAGGTTGTTCATTGGATGGTCGCCGACAATCCTGCAAAAGAAAGGCTGTTGAGGGGAATATTGGCCAGTCATCTGTGGCTGGAAGTTCTAGCTTCTATCAGCGGTCAGAGAGTAATCCATGGCCTGGGGTTCCCACTCGATATGATGCAGGCAGCAGTTTAAGTATATCTGCTCCATCGGAACAAGTGAACCCCAGACTTGGACTTGGAGTGAGAGGACTAGCTTGTGATGCTATCCCAGAATCAGCAGTTGCTGAACGTGCAGAAAGCTCCCATAGAAATTTCCGTTTGAGGATCAATTCTTCAAATCAAGAATCTTCTCCCCCCTCTTTATTTTCTACAGGAAGCACCGTAAGGCGTTCCAGTTTATCATCCTCCCACCGGTCATCAAGAACTCTTCCGATTGATCATTCGTTGGACTTCAGGTCATCATCCGCCATGGATAGTATAACTCAAAATCAGCCAGTTATCCCAGCTCCAGCTTTGCCACAGAATGTGCAATCATTTAGATGGAATGAAAGCTCAAGCTCGAGAACCGGTACTTCATCAAGTTCCATTAGCTTGGATGATAGAGACGAACCCAATGCAAGAAACATAACAAGACACATATGGGAACATCCTATATTTGCTCCTGCAACTGAGTTGAGAACTTCAGTTAGGAATCCAGCCAATAGAAGCTTAACCAGTGGACAGGTAAGTGGACCTGGAAATGTTGGTTCTACATCTCGGACTGGTGCAAGTCCAGGTATCCACCCTCTATCTGCCCCAACCTGGGGTCCTCATACCAATCCTCCTTCAAGAAATTCACGAAGACTAGCTGAGTATGCTCGTCGATCATTGTTTTCCTCTTCTGCTGCTGCTGCTGCTGATACTGGAGGCCAGAGCAGTACTCATTCCCCTTTCCATTCTGGTGCTTCCAGCTCAGAAGATACAGTGCCTTCATCTGGAGCTGGTAACCAGGGTCTTCATCGACCACATCCAAGATCAGCATCATGGTTGGAGAGACAAGGTGATGGTGTACTGGGAATTCCTTATCCTCTGCGGGCTTTGTCCAGTGAAGGAAGAAGCAGGCTTGTTGTCTCCGAGGTCTGTTTCTTGTCTTCTGTGAGGATTTTAAGTATTTTCATTTAATTTTAAAGGTGGTTTGACATTTGATGTTATCTTCATTTTTCCTTACCATTGCTAGTTGTCATCAAAGTTCTCTTTTCTTTCCTTCTCTCTCTCTTTCTCTCTCTCTCTCTGTATTTCTACTGAAGGTTTAGTTCTGGCTTATATGCAAGTGCTGGATAATGCTGTATCAACTTGCTAGGGTATTTCTACTGAAGGTTAAGTTCTGGCTTATAAGCAAGTGCTGGATAATGCTTTATCAACTTGCTAGCTTCCTGTTAATGAAGTATAACTTTGTGGCAACTTTGGTCGGCCAACAACAGAGATTTATGGAGTTAGGAGAAATTTCCTTTTCTCTGTCTCTCCTTTCAAACATCTTGGAAGAATACAACGCATTTTCTTTCTTAGTTTCTTTTGGCAGTTAAATTTGTCGATTAAATTGACATAATAATCATTAAAAAGTCCGTGCGTTTTGTTATGCATGAATATTGCTTTCTGATTTTTGTGTGGTAAACTTTGTATTGACTAGAAGTTAGTGAATTTTTTTGATTTCAAGACAGTCATTACTATTCAAAGTTGTTCCTTTTATAATATAATACCATGCTTCACTGTGGACATCTTTCTGGTGATGAGTTGGGCTCCTTTAATTTTTTATTGTGTTACTTAAAGCAAGCATGATAGGACTCAATCTACTCTTTTACAGTGTGCTTGACACATACCCCTTCTGATAGTTATTTCGGGTTTTTGTTCTTGGTCTCTAAAAACTGCTCTTATGAGTTTTCTTTTCATGTTTCCTAAAAGTTTTTGGAACTTTGAAAAACCAAAAACTCAGAAGTTCTGCTGGTAGTTTTTATTTTTTAATTTTAGATATCGTTTCTGCAGGTTTTCACTAACTGTCCCCTCTCATTCTCAATCACTACCATCCACCACTGTCAGTTGGCAGCCACCAGTACTTGATTGCCAAACAGTCAGAGGTTGCCAATAGTTGACTGGTCAGAATTAATCTGTTGTTAACCTTTTAGTTGGAGTCACTGGTCGCCATTGGTTAGTTGATGGCCATCTGCTGGTTGGCAATGGTATCCGCTGTGGTGGATTGCCAACTGGTCAGAGTTTGGCTGGTAAGAGGTCGATGGTTATCAATTGTATATTAAGTCACCAGATTTTGGATTTCTCTTCCTTGTTTCTTCACCAAACAAATTATTGTGGCAAACATCCTCAGTGGATGAGGAATATCCAGTATGTATAATGTCACCTGTACAGGCCACATACACTATAACCAATTGTACATTAAGAGTCACCACCATAAAAACTGGAAACCAAAATCATGAAAATTACACGTAGAAATTGGAACTTATACCAATTAATCCCAAAGTATTAACATGAACTTGGTGAGTGATTTTGAACTTTATTCATTGTCAATCTTTTATATCCACAAGTTTAATCAATTATCTTCGTAGACCTCCTTTTTCATCCAATAGCTGTGTTTTATCTGTTCTGATTATGTCAGCTGCCATACTGAATTTGAATAAAGAAAAATTAATGATACGTAAGAGGGGGGGGGGGGGGGGGGGGGGGGGATGGTGTAATAGTGTGTGTTGCATTTAGTTCCATAGATTGATGCCTATCATTTTCCAAGTTCCCTGATGTTTGTGAGTCTCGGCAAATGATTGTGGAGCTTAATTTGGTTTTTCTATTTGTATAGCAGATTCGCAATGTCTTGGATCTCATGCGTAGGGGTGAAAGCTTGCGATTTGAGGTAGGAATTGTAGAAACTCTTGGTGTATGTTTCAGTTTATTACATGTTAATTGGAAAGATGAGCTGTATGTGTAATTTGCTGCTGGAAAGATGAGCTGTATGTGTAATTTGCTTCTTCTTCTTTTCTTTTTATTTATTTATAAGCTGCTGGTGGTTGATGGCTTGAAAACAAATCTTTAAGCCACAAACAGTGGATAGTTATAGCTGCTAAACAATTTATATATTTATATCGGTTTCGATCTTATTATGGTTCTGAAATGTTCACGAGTCACTTTGATCTGGGATAAGTTGTGGAAATAATAAGGCCATTATCAAGCGAAGTCTGTTCACCAGATTCATTTTCCTTTTTAGCACAACAAAAGATCTGGAACCCGCATATTCTAAATATGTGAACTGTTGACCCCAATTTGCATGAGATGTTACTCGGGCATTTAACTTGAGGCTCTTATTCTGGTCCATTCACTGCCATCTGAATGACATTTTACGCATTCAGAACATGCACTTCTGAGGTACAGATGCTAAACATTTTGTGATTCCCCAACTGATAATTAATCCTGGGGCTTGTGTATGTTAGTTTTTAATTGTAGTATGGTGGGATGAACAACCAGGAAATTTTCTCCCATTATATAAACACTCTCATGCTAACAGATGAGTGAACTCACTTGTATTCTCAATAGTATCAGATTTTTAACTTCCGCTCCTGCTTGTGTGCAGGATGTTATGATTCTTGACCAATCAGTTTTGCTTGGAGCAGCTGACATGTATGATAGGCATAGGGATATGCGGCTTGATGTTGATAACATGTCTTATGAGGTAGAATCTAAGAAACGGTTTCTTGGTGTCTTTTTTGTTGTGAAGACTCTTCTTGTAATGGATTTCTTTTCTGGAATTACAGGAGTTGCTGGCTTTGGAAGAGCGCATTGGGAATGTCAGTACTGGATTGAGCGAAGAAACTATAGTAAACAACTTAAAACAGCAGAAATACTCTGTTGCTGTTGGAGCGAAGGTGGAGGCTGAACCATGCTGCATTTGCCAGGTAATGATTTTGTCCTCTGGATTGGTGCCTTGAGTCCAGAGGCTCTTCTTTGCTTCACTAATTATTTTCTTCCTTGCAGGAGGAATACAATGATGGAGAAGATCTTGGAACGCTGGACTGCGGACATGATTTCCACGTGGAGTGTGTTAAGCAGTGGCTGATGCACAAGAATTGGTGCCCCATCTGCAAAACAACAGGACTTGCTACATGAGAAAGGGTAAAGATGTTAAGGCCATTACACACGGTTGGTACACGGTTGTACGCTGAAAACGTGAGAGGCGTGGCCCTGGAAATTATCTCATATTTTGGTTACTGGATGGTGAGCGCTGCCATACACCACCTATTCTGGTTGCCCTCATTGTCTTGGCAAGTCAGGAGTCATTTTTTCAAAAAAAGAAAAAACACAAATAAAGAAAGAAAACATAAATGCTAGTGGATGTTGCAACTGTCAAAAGAAGTGGGGACGCAGAAGTGGGATTCCAAATTTATTTATCATTGAAAGTTGGTGGATGCCGCAACTTTCAAAAGAAGTGGGAATTGCAAAAACTGGTTTCATACATTTTATTTATCGTTGAACGAGTAGTTTTATGATATCAATTGAATATTCAACTGCCTTATTTTTATTTTATTTTTCTGTTTCAAGTACTGACCTCTTATATTTGCAATTCTGGAGTTTTTGGAGAATTTGATGGTACCTTTTCTTTTTTTGGTTACGTTTTCTTATTCAAAATTTCCAGCGTAACTTGGTAGTTCATGGGCACCGTTGCAAATTCTAGAGCTGGATTGGATTAATACAGGAGTATTATTTCCTAGCAACGGATTAGGTACAGCATCCGACGCAAACAGGGGGGTAATGGCGTCCCTTCCATTCTCGTTTTTCTACTCGCCTGCTCGCCAATTTTTATTTTTCGATTTATCAACACAAGCTAGGTGCTGTCGACGTTCAACAATTTTCGTTTTCTCACCTAACCACTCATCCATTTTTTTTATTTATTTATTAGTTTGATACCCTGGAGGTGTTTTTTTTTTCCAGCAAAAAATAATATATGCCCAAACTTGAGAATTATACATGTTAATAAATAATCGGAAAGTTAATATAAATATGCTATTAAAAAAAAATCAAATATTTGTTTTGGTTTGAAATTTGATTTTTAAAGTTTCAATTGATTTGAATTAATAAAATTAAATTTTATTTTTTAAATTAAGCATTATAAAATTGAATTTTATTTTTCAAATAGACTAACTCATATCAAGCCAATTAAAATAAAACATTAACTTAATTTCGAGTAAAAAGTCAAGGAATAAAAAAATATATATGGGTAATTATTGCAACCCCAATTGAATTGTCTTTTTTCTATGTTGTAATTTCATTATTTTTTTAATATTTTTTCTATTTCACATCATCTTACTTATTCACGATTCTAATCATTTTATGGTTTATTGATCATCAATTTTATGAAATATAACTACAATGAATGTAAAATGATTAAATTAAGAAAAAATATCATTGTAAAATAATTAAATTAAGAAAAAATAATAATATGAGTAACTATTGCAACCTTAATTAGATTGTTTTTTTTATATTATATAGTAACTATTGCAACCTTAATTAGATTGTCTTTTTTTTTTATATTGTATTTTTATTATTTTTTAATATTTTTTTCATATTGCATCATCTCACTTATTCATGATTCTAAATATCATTTTATAGTTCATCGATCATCAATTTTATGAAACATAACTACAAAGATTAAATAGAAAGCAAAATGACTCAATAAAAAGAGAAGATGTAAATAAAAACAAAATGACTTAATTTTAAATTTGTCGTACTGAGACATGTAAGGATAAAAATAATAATTATTATAGTTTTAAAATCAAATATAAAAATCGACTTGGGACAAGACCCATATCACCGCCTAGAGGTCAACCCGAGTCAACTTTAATCTTTTTTTTAAGAAAAAGATTAAAATAATATTATTTTAACTGTTAAAAAATAATATAAATCATATCCTAAAACCTCACCCAACAGCTTAAATTTTTAGGTTGAGATGGTTTTTTGACATGGTATCAGAGCCTTGATCATCAAGCGGTCACGAGTTCGAATCTTATTATCTTCATTTATTTGATAAAAATTAAGTACAAGATAGAGTGAGTTTATACAAATTTCAAGCTGAAAGGATTTTTACCTGAGGCGGTGTGTTAGAGAATAATATAAATCATATTCTGAAACCTCACTTAATAGCTTAAACTTTTAGTTTGAGATAATTCTTTGATATTAACAAAAAAAAAATCATTAAGTTTTTTACCTGAGTTAGCCAGGAATTGAGAAAAAATCATCAGATTTTTTACCTGAGTTAGCCAGGGATTGAGTAAACCTTGGTGAGGCCAAGTTAATCTTATCTATATTTTTTAAACTCGAATTGAAGCAAACATCAAGTTAGCTAAGCCCTGCGTTAACCCTTTGAGTTAATTCATGTTTTATAACTAAGAATATCATACTATTATTAATTTTAATACTTAATATAAACTAAAAAAATCTAATTATTTTTTAAAATTATTTAAATTTCACAGTAATATATGTTAAGGGTAAATAATTTTTTTAATATTTTATTTTGTCTCTTTGATTGTCAAATAAGATATAAAAATAGTAATAATTTTTTTAATATTTTATTTTGTCTCTTTCATTGTCAAATAAGATATAAAAATAGTTATTTTATTTAATACATCTTTATCATACAATTTTGTTTTTCTGTCTTCTATTCTATTTTGTCTCTTTTATCCCACTATTCTTATCATGTTCATTATAAAACAATAATCGAATTCTATCTTAAAGTATTAAGCTGGGGCTAATTAGCAGCCCAGATTGTAACCAAACTTCCTGTTCGGTTTACCTCCTCTACGAAAACGAGTTGACAGGGATACCTATGGTAACAATGTAGAACGGGTTCAGGAGCGCTTAGCTGGGTGGAGAGCGAATCATGCATAACTTCTTCCTCATTCTGTTCTGGTTGCCCCTCCTATTTATTCCATGCTGACAGACTTTGGTATTATACTAGCAATTATTTTTAAAATATCTTTTATTTAAAAATATATAAAAATAATTTTTTTTATTTTTTAAAAATTATTTTTGAAATTAATATATTAAAACAATTTAAAAATACCAAAAAAATATAAATTTAAAATAAATAAATATAAATTTTTTAAAAAACATTTTTAAAATACAAAAATATTCATAAAAAGCCGATCAATTATGTAAAAAAAATTGTATGGGTGGGGACATGGAGTCTCGGAAGAGAATGCATCTTGGTAGCTGGGATAGTCCTTGGCAACCTAGGGATAGAGGCGGGCTGGGTCTTTGGAAAATATGGCAGATTCATCTAACTGCCTCATGATAGGATGGCTACGTACGACGTGTCACTCGATCTTACGAAAGCGCATTTGTTCTCCTTGGGGTATTGTTTCCATTATAATCCGGATGAGATTTAATTTTTTTAATAAATTTAAAAAGTATATAACTAATTTATAAATATTTTTATATAATTTATATCTATATAGATGTTTACTGACTTTTTAATGTATATTTTTTATATAATTTAGATCTATATAGACTGTTTACTGACTTATTAATGTATATTTTTTTAATAATCTATAGTTATATGGATTATTTTCTGAATTTTTAATGTAAAATAACTATACTATATTTTATATCTCATATTTTTTTATAATTTATACTTACATGAATTGTTTTTTAACTTGTTAATATGAATCATTAAACTATATTTTATATCTTAATTTTTATAAATAGTTTTAAATTTTTTTTAATATGAAATATTAAAATTTTAATTATAATATTTTTTAATTTTTTAATCTGACTCGATCAACTTGTATAAAATTATGTAGCCAAATTAATATCATTTCACGTTTAATAACTACGATTGTAAATTTCAAATACCGGATAAAAAAGTTTCTGAATTTTTAATGTAAAATAACTATACTATATTTTATATCTCATATTTTTTTATAATTTATACTTACATGAATTGTTTTTTAACTTGTTAATATGAATCATTAAACTATATTTTATATCTTAATTTTTATAAATAGTTTTTAAATTTTTTTAATATAAAATATTAAAATTTTAATTATAATATTTTTTAATTTTTTAATCCGACTCGGTCAACTTGTATAACTTGAGATCCAAGCCCAATTAATATCATTTCACGTTTAATAACTACGAGTCTAAGTCTCAAATACCGGATAAAAAAGTTGTTAGGGATTATCCTATTTGATGACTATCTTCACTCAAATTACGTTCTTTTTTTTTTTTTATTTACTATGGTCACGATCCCATGGTTTTGTTTTTTCCGTCGCTAGGATAAAAAAGGAGGAGGACGACGTAAGGAATGTGAAACCTCAATTTAATCCCTAACCTATATAATCATTTTTAATAGGATATCAAACCTATAATATTATCAATTCGGTCCCAAGTATTCCAGACACTTCTCAATTATGTTCTTTTGCTAATCTTTGTGATGGTATATAAAATAACTACCCAGAAATATTAATTCTTGGAACGGGTCCAATCAAACTAACATATGATATTTATATTAAATATCTTATAACTTAGATATTGAAGAAATATTTATATAAAATATATTAAAATCTAGATATTTTTTAAGATATTTATCTTAAAATAACATGTATAGAAAGATTTCTCTGGAACATATAATAGAACCAGATCAAAGCTTATCTTTTCAGACTTCAATTCTAACATAATACAGAACTTTAACAAGACTTGAAAAACATTAAAGTTTAAAGAATATTTACTTTTCTCAACAAACATTATAATAGTACAGGTATCAGATTGTTTTTTTACAAGTAGGGGAGGAGCAAGAAAAAAAATTAAGGGGGACAAATTAAAAATTGAAAGCCAATTTAAATTTTCAGTTATTTTTAAAATATTTAAAAAAAAACTGGAAAATTTTTTTTCTTGTGGGAGCCAGCCCTCCTGTCCTGACCACTGCTTACAAGTATTGCTGGGCTCATTAAAATCATTCAAACTAAGTTTTATCGGCTAATAAAAAACACCGTAATCTTTCCCCAAAGGATTTTTCCCAGCCTATCAGTTTGCAAACTCTTCTGTCAAATTATCTTCAGTAAGCATCTTTTTACAGCATATAGTGTGCACGCTCGATAGAAAATACAAACAAATATTAAAAAAAAAAAGGACTTGATTGAGAGATATGGGAAACGTTTGGAACCTTAATTGAGAAATTAGAGGTCTGGGATCTAATGTAGGAAGGGAGTGAGTCGAGGTTTACCTGAGAAGAAACCCTGCGGTCAGCATTTATTTCGACCGGCACTGTCCGGTCAGCAGATAAAACCGTATGGGTTGAATAGAAAAGGTAGCTAAAAGTGATTTATCGGGAATTGCACTTTTGGTCTTTAAATAAATAAATAAATAATGTTTTCTGGTCGGGCTAAGGTGACGTTTTAGATGGAAAGAAGTATCTTTGAGTTGAGCAGATGAGTATAATTAATGCCCCCTTCATGACACGTAAATTACATTTTCCCGCCCACTGCCAGAATGCTTTCGGTCTTGGACTGGTCGTCTATCTTTTTAACCTTTTCTATTTGTTACGTGTCCTCTCTGCCCTTTTGTTTTCAAAGAAGAGGCCACGGTTGTTTGAGACAAGAGCTTTCCGCACTCGCTTTGATGATCTGCCACGTCTGTTTAAGATTGACCATGATAGTAAAAGATGCATTGATTGCCCAACACAAAGTTGTTCAGCCATCGAGAAATTTATTTTACATTCTATTTAATTTTGAGGTTTTAGATTGACTAGAAAGTTACACGGTGCTGGAAATTGAGTTATTGATTTTTTTTAGGTGAATCAAGTAAAAATCTAGTTTTTAAAGGTTTAAAAACTTGAAGATTGACTTTTTAATCATAAAAAAAAAATTAAAATTCCTTAAAATATGTAATACGTAGTGAATTACATGTTGTTTGCTCTTTTTTTTTTTTAAATACGTAGTGAATTACATGTTGTTTGCTTTTTTTTTTTTTATATAAAAAAAGCAGAGTTTAGGCTTGACTTTAATAGCCCTTTTCTTTATTTTTGTTTTTTAGAATTTATAAAATTATAAAATTAAATACCCTTTTAATGAAATAATTATAGTAATATTTTTAAAATTCTATGATTAAACCATGCTTTTCAAGATTAAAAGTTTGTAATGGCAATGTTAGCAATTACATTATGAGTAATATATAAACCTAGTGTGCATGACTTTTTTTTAAAAAAATAAATTTTTATGAATATTAAGTGAAACTAAAATATGTAATATTTTTATTGTGAAGGTCATAGAAGATAACATCACCCGTGACCAACTATTTTTCCTTAAAATCCAAAGGAAAGCAGTCTTTTTGATTGCGAGAGATAGGAAGGGTCTTAGGTTGTGTAAAAAAAATGATCATCCAATATTGTGGTTATTAAAAATTTTTAATCAATTATAAAAATTTTTTATAATAAAGAATATATTATATATAAAAAAAGATATTATCATATTTTAAGCATTCTCATTTAAGGAGACTGTATTATAAGTTTATTATGATGAACTAAATTCTAGTAAAAAATCCAACACCTATTTGTTCTAAAAATCTAATTGGTTTTTGATATTCTTATTTGTTTGGTAAGTTGAGAACTCCAAGATGATCATCCAAGATCACAACTTAATTTATAACTATAAATATATCGGTGAGCTTATATTAAGTTCATGGAACCCAATTCAAATTCCAAGGAAGGTCTGTGAAATGTGCCTTAAAAAGTTTTACATGTCTTAAGATACACCGGATATTTTTAACTTTGGTATCATGAAATTATAAATTAAAAATACCCTTAATTGTTAAGTATTTTAAAAAATTCATATTTATCCTTAAATAATGATTTTATTGTAATTTTGTTTTCAAAAAAATTACAAGGAGGATTATTCTTTTTAATATTCAAGTACTGACTTGTATTGAGTCTATCTATTCAAATATTAAAAATAAATAGCAAAATATTTTTTTTAATTTTGAAATTTTAGATATACAGGACAATGAGCCTTTTAGTTTTGACAAGGTTATGATGAATTTTACAAATTTATTATAAAATTCAAAATACATGCCAGATATATATATTTTTTTAATGAAAATAATAAGACAAAGGTTTTTATCAAAGACGTGCAAGAAAATATTTTGAACGTTTTTTCTTTCTTTCAAATGCTAATAAGAACGCTAGTAGATTCGAAGAGATTTTTTTGTTGATTTTCTGGTAGGACTTGGCGTTATGCAAATTTATAAATTTTTTGATAGTATTCCCTTTTTTCTTGTTTATCCATTTATTCTAACACATGCTAAAAAATATGCACCACCCACGCACAACATCACTTCACTAATCCAACTGCACCATCTTCCCACACACCCACACAAGTTCATCTTCAACTTGTCAACCAACAATTACAGCAAAAAATTAAAATCATGCGACAAAAGTATGAAATAGACCTTCCAGACTAAAAAATATGCACCACCCACGCACAACGTCACTTCACTAATCCAACTACACCATCTTCTCGCACACCCACACAAGTTCATCATCAACTTGTCAACCAACACCTACAGCAAAAAATTAAAATCATGCGACAAAAGTATGAAATAGACCTTCCAGAAGTGGTTGGACTGGACCTAAATGGTCACCATAGGGTGTAAGAGCAGCTGGAGCTTCAGGAATGATACCACAAGTACCCTAGAACAACGGCGAAGCATAGACTCAAGCGTAACCACCATTGCCGACGCGTGGAACAGGGCGCCGCCGTTACAGGAGAGAAGCCACCTACCGTATCTAAACGCCTCCCTTCTCTTGTTAATCTTAGATCGATGGTGCACATTTACGCTCCTTGTGGAGGGAGATCGAGCCTCCTAAAGCTTTGAACTTCTCACCGTCTTTCTTCTCATCTCTCTCTCGGTCTCTCCTCGTTGCTACTGCTAATGAGGTTGTTATTGTTCTTGTTTTTTCTTTTCTTGCTCTCCCTCTTTATTTTTCAGCTGTAATGGGTACTGGCCTCTTGTATTTTTTTTAGAGTGTCTTTGTGTATATGAATTTTTTTTTAACACCGGGATATGTATTTATAATACAATAGTTATAAAGCACAGGGAATTCAAAGTCCTCACAAAATAAACTTACCCTTTTCTTTTAAATCTAAAATTAAAATTTGAAAAAGATTAGCTGAATCTATTATGACTGTTTATTGCACAAGAATATTAAAAAAAAAACATACACTATAGTTTTTAATTTTGCACAAATCAACAAATGCGACCCTTAATCAAAATCAATCTATAATCCTTCAAAAATCAAATTAAAAATATAAATATGGTTAAAACTAGGTTATGAGAAGGTTCTTATAAAAGTACTCAAATTAATTATTCTTTTATTTTTGAATACAATTGCATAGAAATTAAAAAAAAAAGTGAAAAAAGGAAAAAGGAAAAGAAGAAAAACAGAACAGCCCACATCCAAGGATTTCCCGCAAAGGTAAAGGCATATGAGAATAACGGAAACCAAAGGGGAGGGTGGGGCCGCAAAAAGAAGGGCGGGAGATTAATCCAAATTGATTACAATCAAAACATCATCTTCCTCCGTGATGCCAAAACTTCCACTAAACTCCCAAAAGCCTCCTTAAAAAACCCCCCCGTTCCCCGTCAACAGCAAAAACAAAAAGCCAGCACTCGCCAAATAAATAAATAAAAGCAGCAAAGAAGAATAATCAGCTAACAGATAACACACGCACAGGAATCAAACACCGAAAACATTAAAATAAAATCCACTCTCTGCTCTTCGCTTTCTCCTTTTTCATTCTATCTTTTTTTTTAATATTTTAATTAATATATACATGGCGGATCTGTACGGACCGGCACGGTCACCGGCCACTGAGCCAGAAGAGATCTCTACTTTCCTCCAACAGTTCCTCGGCAACAACTCTTCTTCCCCCTCTTCTAAATTCATCGATCACGCTCTCTCTACGCAGATGGAGACTGGCTCTACCGCCGTTGAATTGTTGGATTGCCAACTGTTTGGACAGTCGGAGACGGAGTGCGGAGTCGGTGCTGGAAACTCCGGTGTCAATCTCTCTGATCCCGGTGGTTATTATGTTAAAGAAGGCGTGGATAATGCGGTCTCTTCAGGTATTTCAAAGAGAAGGGGAGTCTCCGTGGAGGATGATCTAGGTGATTTTAGCTGCGATAGCGAGGTAATTTGGTAACTTAATAACTCATTCAAGCAAATACTTGAGTTATTAGTAATTCTTTTTTTTGTTGATTGTGCGGATAGTTATAATTTCTTTTTTACTTTTTATATGTAACTGCTTTAAAGTATTTTGAATATAGAAGGGGGCGGAGGTGCAAGCTAATGCAGTGCGGCCGCGAAGTTCATCGAAGAGGAGTAGAGCTGCGGAGGTTCATAATTTATCTGAAAAGGTTCCCACTCTAATTTTTCTTTCTCTTGTTTTATTTATTTATTTTTTGATTGTGAGATAAATGTGGGATTTAATTTATGTGGGTTATTTGCTTAACAGAGGAGGAGGAGCAGGATCAATGAGAAAATGAAAGCCTTACAGAATTTAATTCCTAATTCTAATAAGGTACACTATCTTTTACAGCACAGAAGTTTTAATTAGTAAAGCTTGAATGCAGAGAGTTTCAAATTCAAATTCAATTTCAGATTCAGAAGAATTACTATTTGATTTGGAGTTATATTTTTTTAATTTTGATAGACGGATAAGGCGTCGATGCTGGATGAGGCCATTGAATACTTGAAGCAGCTTCAGCTTCAAGTGCAGGTGGGTGGTTTCTAGCACTCTTTTACCTGGCTGTTTGGTTGAGGCCACTCTGATTATTTAGTTGTCTCATTTGTTTTTATGCTTTTTATTTTGGACTTTGTTTCTTTATGCGCTATCCTTCACTAGAAGCCTGGTTTTTAGATCTTTTAGTTATTAATGTAATCTTATTTAGTTCTAAAGATCGGGGGCCATTTTCTTGTAGTAGGGCAACAGCCTTAGGCAGCTAAGTGCAAGAATGTTGCTTTGATTCTTTGAAGAAGATGTAAAAGTCAGTTGAAGGGTCTGATACTGTGTAGGTTATACACTTATTGTAAATAGTTAAGAGCATCTGGTTAAAATGGTTAGAACATTGACGCAGCCATTTCTGTTGTGTTTTGTATCATGTCTTCTCTATTAAATCCTTCCAAATTTTAAACATCTCAGTAAGCATCATAGAAGTTTACGAATGCCATCCATTTCTGATGTATTTTGTTTCATGTCTTCTCTAATAGATCTTTCCAAATTCCTAACATCCAGGTAAGCATCATAAAAGTTTTTGACATTTGTAATCCATAATCAAATACCGATAGGCCTGCATTAAGCAAAACAGTATCATTTTATAGTATATATTTGTGTTTGTTAACTTTTATTTTAAGGCTCAAGGAATTCATATCTTGGTTGGTAGAGAGAGCAGCAAATTGACCGTTTGCAACTTTGTCTGAGATAGGCAAAAAATAATCTAATTTTCATCTTGTTTATTACAGAGATGGCTCTGACTCAAATTTGGTTTTACAATGGTTCTGAATGCTACTGTTATGACTACAGGACTGAATTTTCTTAGTTATGATTGAGCATGACTATCACTTATAATATAAGCTTGATAACTTGGTTTTCTGTCCCTGGGTGCGCATTGTTTGGTTAAATTTCCAAGGATAGAACTGAAGCTGGAAAGTTACAGAGCTGGATTGGGATGGACATCCTTTTCCCAGTCCTTTCCCTTAGAAATTATTTGACTCTAGTTTTGAATCTTTTTTTTTTCCCTGCCAAGTCCAATAGGAAAAATAGCAAAAATAGGTTGGTCACGGAGTGAACGATGCAGTTATTGTCACTTCAGCATATTATATGATTCATATCATGATTGGTTTACAGATGTTAACAATGAGAAATGGATTGAGTTTGCACCCGATGTGCTTACCAGGAGCACTACAGCCAATGCAGCCGCCCTTGTCAGGAATGAGCTTTGATGAAGGAAATGGGTTGTTAACTACAAACACATTAACAGGCATATTTTCTGCAAATGAAGAAAGCTCGGTGCAAACTGCTCTTAATCTTCCAAGCCAGTGCACGGTCTCAAATCAACCAATTGCTATTCCTTCAGGGACAAACATTACCTCATCAGAAACTAACTTTGGTTTTGAACCACTGATCCATGTCAACCATGCACCCTTCAATCTGTGCACGTCTTCAAAGGTAAACTCTGAGAAACAACCATTAGCGTATTTATGAGAATTGCTGGTTTAACATTGAACTTTTTTTTGGTGATGTGAAGGAAATATGCAGGGAAGGAACACCACAGGCACAAATAGAGATGGATCAAACTGTGAAGACTTCTCCATCCGGTGTGTCTTAGCTCTGTCTTACTCTTCAAATACATGATCAATGAAATTGCCACCAATAACAGTTACCGTTTGTCCAAATACCTTATGAGCTGCAAATGTTCCTCAAAACTACTGACTTCTCACCCTTCACCAGGTCATTTATTTTGTAATTTATAACAGGTTAGATACAACTATAAGAACCGAACTCCTAGCATCCTTTGACTTCATTAGAAATGTTAGCCCAAAATCTATTTAGTTGTTTAATTATTTAGGAAACCAGGACGATTCTGTTAGATTGGATGAATGTTTCCATTGCTACTGTGTTTGAAATCTGTATTTGAAAGAAGGGAATGAAGTTGAAGGATGCTATATAATCCTTACCATTTTTGCTACGCTCGTTGTCTAATGATATTTGGATCTTCTATCAACTTGCTGCTCTCAATGTCTCAACTTCTTTCTGTCATTTTGCCACTGCGACAACGCTTACTCCACGACTCCTCTTTCCCTAATTTTGTTTAAAGAAACAAACAAGAGATAAAACAAGTATTTGTAGTGGTAATGTCTAATTATTTCTTGAACGATGAGCTATCAAAGAAAACCTCAATCTCTGGTTTACGTTCATGGGCAGTTCGTCGTTTTACTGCAGGAGCTGCTATAGTTCTTCTTTTCCTTGTCTCTCTTTGGTTCACTTCTAAACGCAACAAAACTAATAATAAAACCATTAAACCTATTGCTACCACTACCACCATCAAATTCATTCATTTTGGTCCTGTTTTGGTGTAAGGATTGAACCTCTGTTTTGCTAATTTTTATTTTTTTTTTAGTTTGAAATTGTTATTTTATTTGTATTTTTGGATCGTTTAAATGTTCTAACATCAAAAATAAATTTTAAAAATTAAAAAAAAATATTATTTTATTGAATTTTTGAGTATATTGTTTTACCGAAAATAGGGCATGTCATGCATATGCTTGAAGCAGACGATGCCCCCTTCCGAGATGTAAGAGAACATGCGTGTCTTTGACTAATTATTTCATTTATAGTTCTTCAATATCTGTACTGTCTCTGAACCTGCACCCTGATCTTCCTTTTCCATCTCTTTGTTTCTATGAGATTGGCGTTCCCAGATCAATATAATTAGGATTAATTACAAGTTTAAGCAAGAAATGCGATATTGGCTAAACAATCGAAGTTGGCAATATTTTGTGCTCACTTCAGTTTCTAATGTGTGTTAATTGCACTTAGTTTCTAATAAATGCATTTCTTAGAATGTTTTGTTATCAACTCACGACTCGAATTAACTGATTACCTTGATTAAGCAAAAGGTGATCTTGTCAAAATAGTATGCATTCCTATTAAAGTTTGCTTCGTTCTAAAATAGAACTCAAAGAGAAAAGCATAGTTTCAAAATCCAGTTTCTAGGTACAGAATTCTTGTACCATCTAAGTATATGATTTTCTGGGATTTAGGCTCGTTGACATGTTTGACTATACTTTGTGCAAATTGCAATCGTGGTTTTGTGGTTAATTTTCTCGGTTGAACATGTAAAGCAAATCAGCAAGTTTTTCACAGTAGCTGTGCCGTAAGTCTTCTGTGTGTGGAATTATGGATATCTGTTTGTGGCTCCATCAGGAATGCCTTTTGCTCTTATTTACAGGTCTGCAGAGTCATCTGGGAACCTCGGCGCTCCCATCGTGATGGTATGAGGACGGATAAGCGTGTGAATGAACCAGGTGATAGTAGTGGGTATGAAAGTGCTGCTCCAACCAACATGTCATTATGGAGAGAGCAAGAACCAGAAGAGCAGTAACTACACTTTCCAAACTTGTATAAGGTGAATCAATTCACCTGTTTTGTTCGTTTCTCTCCATTCAGAGCTGGGATAGTCAGCCACTTCCCTTGTTTATGCTACCCGTATTATCTTGTGATTAGGCTATTTGTAGATTTTGCAGCATTTTAATGGCGTGAAGTCAATTATAAGTTGGTTGATTTGTTTTTTTTCTTTTTTTGTTCCTTTTGAGCCGTCTTCTGTATATCCTTGGCTATTTAAAGTTTCACCGAGTAATTCAAACTATTGTGGGATGATCTAATGGGAAGAAATTTTGTATTTTTTGAAGTTACAGGCATGTTGCTTGGATTGCTCCGATGCAGCTATCATTGTTACTGTTGAGAAGTGTGGACATCTGTGCTGTCATAAGGTTTCTTCTCACATGCTTTCTTTTAATATCTTCTAAACTCACTCACTAATATCACGATGATGTTTTAAGACTCCAAAAAACCAGCACTCCATATTTGCCCGAGCACAAAAGCGTGATTTCAACTCACAAAACTTCTGATTCCAAGCCCATTCTAGCCTGGGCCTAAGTACCGCATTTCATGCAAATTTGGCATCCTTTGTTCACTACAAGCCTGATTATTTTTACATTACAAAAATATTTTAAAAAAAATTTAATTTAATTTTTATAAGTTTACATTATTGATATACTAATATTAAAAATAATTTTTTAAAAATAAAAAATATATATTTTAAAATAAAACATATTTTAAAAAATAATTATTTTACAACTCTGGACGAGCCTCTTATCTCATTTACCTTGACATTGGGTTGTTCATATGATCTACTCTGTCGCACTGACAGATGCGTGCAGTTGAATTCCTATTGATCATTATGCATATCGCTGCTGCTACCCGATATATGAGATTTTCAATTAAAGAAATAAAATAAAAAGAAGGCCCCCATTTCCTCCCTGAAGAAATAATTAGCCCTTTATTTTAGCTAATAAGAACAACGGGAAGTGCTCAGATCATTTTGCGTCCCTACCCTCCCCCCAAAGTAATTTGATCAATAATTATGTGCGTGCGCGACTAACAACTGTGCTAATCCACAATAATAGCTGGTTTTCTCCAATAATTACATGCTTAAATAACAAGGAAAGATTATAGTGATCCTAAGCATCCTATGAAAATCAATCCGGCCAAAGAATCGGTTAGAATATCGAATTTATTCCCCAATTATTCTATCTTTCTATGTCAAACATGTCACTCCGATTTAGGGGTGAAATCACCTCTCTATGGTTGAGGTGTGTTTTCACTGCTACAAGGTCACCTTTTTTTTTTTTTGGGAGCAACATGTGAATTTTAAATTATTTATTGTTATTTTTTTTTAATTCTGATCCATAATGCTTTTCACATTAAAATATATTAAAATATTTTTTTATTAAAAAATATTAATTTAATATTTTTTCAAACCAAATATAATTTTAAAACACATATAAATACATTTTAAAACACAAAAACAAATATCCTTTAAATATAAACTCATTAGTGTTTGGTATTATATTAATAATTATTTTTTAAAATATTTTTTGTTTAAAAATATATTAAAATAATAACTTTTTTATCGTTTAAAATTTACTTTAATACACACTGAGATAATTTAAACACTTCAAAAAATAAAATTAGTTTTTTTTAAAGTAACACCATGAACACAAATAATATTTATTTTAAAGCTGTTATTTTTGTGTGTTGGGGACGGAATCCAAACCATATTTTTTTTTAATTTTTTTGTTTAAAATAAATTTATTTATATTTTTAGATTATTTTAATATACTAATATTAAAAATAATTTTTTTATTTTAAAATAAAAATTATTTTAAATTATTATCATTATCATATTTTCAAATACACTGCATCGGTAACTATGGTTTGGCATTGATAATACTAAATGAAACGTCACCTTTGGTGACTTTATTTTGTAGGGTTACTTCAACCTGTAACGGTTGACTTTTAAACACAGAATCGACAAATCGAACCCTACCAAACAATGCAGTGGAACGTGCGAGGGCCAAAGGCGATTATCATGACAAAACTTGGCAAGATTAACATGTTATTCCGAGAGAATTACGCTCTATGGTTAAGTGGATATAGTTTTTTTTTAGCCGAATAATAATAATGAAGAAAAGAGTAAAACAAATACTCCCATGCGCAAGAAATCCAGAAAGAAAGAAAGAAAGTCATCCTCAAGATTATTTAAAAAAAAAAAAAAAACATAAATGCACTCCTGAAAAATCCCTAATTCTCAGTGTCAAATACCTATTAGGGTTCATCATACATGTTGGGTTCCGTTTCCCTTTGAAACCAGGCGGGCAATCATTCTTTCCATTGGTAATAAACTCACTCGTTTTCATTGCATTGGTGAGAATCACAGTGCAGGCCACCAGCATTATTAGGAGTGCATTGTGTCCATCACACTATCACTATCACTATCACCAGCTCCTTCCCTATTCACACGGCATTTTTTTTCCCCGTTACCAGATTTACACAGCAATTCTCACTGGCAGGCATATGCAAGTTACAAATTACAACCTAAAACTCCATGCTCACAAGGAGATGTGTAGAAATTGTTTGTATCTTCTCTTCAAAGTATACTTTTAATTTGAAGGTCTTAAATCAAATTAGAGAGGAGGAGGGATTCAGAAAAAAGAAGAAGAAGAAGAAGAAGAAGAAGAAGATTTTCTCTGATCTTTTTGCTTCAAGGTTTAGTTGACTTTCAATGACTATATATATATATATATATATTAACTGATAATTGCCCTTCATAAACCATGGGTATAAATGGAGGATAAATGTACAAGATCAAAATTTATAATCGGTGGCCACGCCGGATCATTTCCCTGAAATAAGATGATATGATGGCCTTCGAAGACAACTAGCACCTGCTTCTCACTCTGTCCCACATGCTGGATAACATGTATTAGGACTTTATTTTATTAATAATAATAATAAAAAAAAACAATGCTGATTAATATGTATGATATACATATGAGTGGATTTTTTAGCGTGTGGTGCATTTTTTGTACACTACTTGGGCACATGGTGGGCTTTAACACCACCAATTATCAACGTCTCTCTGTCGAATTGTAAGGGAAAAAGAAGGCAAAACACCAGTAGTTTATGTGGTGTTTGTAAACACGGTTGAACTTATATCCTTAAAATTTTGATTTTTTTTTTGTTTAAAATTATAGAGGATACCAAGATTCCACACTTTCCAGTTCTCTCTATATATAGAAACCCAGACAAGTTCACCACAGTGCACTCCTACAAGACCATCTCCTTCCACCATACATCGCACATGGCTACTCGTGATAATGTTTCCCTGTATAAGTTGTGGATTTCAGTTCTCACTATCCTACCTTTCACTCAAACATTATCACAAACCGAAAATTATATTGTTCACATGGATTTATTGGTGATGCCCAAAGCCTTCTCAGGCCAGCATCAATGGTACCTGTCCGCTCTTGCATCGATATTTGATGTCTCTGATAGTAGCACCACCAGGGCTACTGCTGCCACTCTGACTGCCTCTTCTAAACTTCTTTATAGTTATACTCATGT